TTTTAGCCAAATTTGGCTAAGAATGATGTTTCATACATGGCCCGGGGGGTTCAAAAACCAATTTTTAGAGAGTCAAGTCATGAAAATAATATTCTTATGGGGGATTTTCATAAGCCATTAGTGGCTAACATGGAAAAACAACCCACTTTGCCAAAGAATTATGAAAATCAATTCGGCGAAAGTCATGTTTTTAAACCAAACATGGTCAAGAATAATGAACAAACCACTGTTCATGAATTCAAAAGTTTTGAAATTTTTCAAAGTGTCAAAAATTATGAATTTTCATGGTCACGCTATACCATGACTTTTGTTGTTCAAAATCTACTTTGGATTTGTGGATCACACCAAAATATAATTCTGATGATGTGGCTAATAAAATTAACAAATTGCTCTTATGAGTTCGAAGCACTAAGAACAGGAGATGACCATTTAAAATGCAGGAACTTGGCTAAGAAAAGCCTATGCATTTAAATAAGTGGTTGAGAATGGCTTATCTTTTCAAATTGATGGCCAGTTATTTGTATGTACACAATCAAAGCATCGAAGATACATTCGAAGCATCAAGAGTTGTTTCGAAGGTTGATTACTTCACCTTCGAAGCTGTATAAAGATACATTCGAAGCATCAAGAGTTGTTTCGAATGTTGATTACTTCACTTTAGAAATTGTATAAAGCTTCGAAGATATATTTGAAGCGTCAAGCCTAACCTTAAAACTTCATTGTAAGTATCATCATCTTATATCAATGCTTCCAACCTTCGAGGGGTGATGTTGTTCCTTCAAAACTGTGCCTCAAGACCTTCGAACGATGAATTTGGTCTTTTATACCCTTCGAAGCTTGTTATTGATCATCCAGTCGTAATTTCATACTTATTCGAAGCACTTTATTAGTGTTATTATATCATTCGAAGCATTTTATTAGTGCTATTATATCATTCGAAGCACTTTTATATTATTCGAAGCATTTTATTGCTTAGATTAGTCATGTGCTTGGTTCGGCCCTTCAAAAATTCAAATAAACATCATTTTTAAGGGCCGCAGAGGGTAATATTAGCACCATAAAATATTATTATTATTATTATTATTTTCAAGACACGTGGCATCCTCTTATTCATTTGGAAGTTAAAAGAAGTTATAGAGATGATGGAGAATATGAAGGACAAAATGGATGAGTGGAAGGACACATGGCAAGACAAGAATGAAAATGGAAGAAATGGGTAGTTACTAAGTAGTTATTGCTATATTTTTTCCTCTATAAATAGCTATTAATGGTTACATTGTAAAGATCCAGAATTCAAATCAAAGACAATTGATTTCAATATTTCTTGTCATTTTCCTTATTTTAAGAGTAGTTTAACATAGATTTATAGTTCGAAGTATTTATTTTCAGCACTTTCTTTTCGAAGCATTTTATGCACTTCCTTTTCGAAGCATAGGAGTAGAGGTAAGTAATGATTATTTTGATTGTTCACTCAATCGTCTTTCTCCGTCTCCCTCATTTTTCTTTTAATTTTTCTTTTCTCTACACTTGGCAATTTTGAAGTCCTCTTTGTTGAGGCAAAAGAACCCGTCTTTAACCGTTCATCGATGGATTCAGGTATGTCATTTTGTCTTGATTTCTTGATAATACACATGGTAAATGATCCAAAGTGTAAGGTTTATGTTCTGAAATTTATGTTTACATTTTTTCCTCTATAAACAGCCATTAATGGTTACATTGTAAAGATTCAGAATTCAAATCAAAGACAATTGATTTTAATATTTCTTGTCATTTTCCTTATCTTAAGAGTAGTTTAACATAGATTTATACTTCGAAGTATTTATTTTCAGCACTTTCTTTTCGAAGCATTTTATGCACTTCCTTTTCGAAGCATAGGAGTAGAGGTAAGTAATGATTACTTTGATTGTTCACTCAATCGTCTTTCTCCGTCTCCCTCATTCTTCTTTAAATTTTTCTTTTCTCTACACTTGGCAATATTGAAGTCCTCTTTGTTGAGGCAAAAGAACCGTCAACGCAATCGCTTGATAATTGGTTTGAATTTAATCTGTAAGGATTTTTCAATCCTTGCTGGCACGCTCGCATTTATAATATTTTCCTTCGTAAGAAAAATAAGCCAACAATTTTTGGCACGCCCAGTGGGACGTCAAGTGTAAGAAATGAAAAATGAATTGGATTCGTCCATTTGACACAGCCTAGATGAAATCTATTGGCGTAAATAAAAAATTTTGGATCTTCAAGAAGAGATTCATTTTATTTGTGAAACAAACTTCCATCCATTACAATATTATTTGGTGGAAGAAAAAAGACATGATTTAATTGGTGAAATTCATGAACTTGATATGGAAATTTGCCAATGGAATGATGAGTTGTCAACTCTCACTACCAAGTCTTTAACTGAGGCTTTAATGGTTGGAATTGGTGAATTTTTTCAGAATTTTTCCATGATTGAAAATAGCAAAAACAAAGAGTTGATTTCATCAATGGCTTGGGGGGTTCAAGAGCCCGTTTTTAAAGAGCCAAATTATGAAATTAACATAACGAAAGAGCATGTTTTTTAGCCAAATTTGGCTAGAATGATGTTTCATACATGGCTCGGGGGTCCAAAAACCAATTTTTAGAGAGTCAAGTCATGAAAATAACATTCTTATGAGGGATTTTCATAAGCCATTAGTGGCTAACATGCAAAAACAACCCACTTTGCCAAAGAATTATGAAAATCAATTCGACGACAGTCATGTTTTTAAACCAAACATGGTCAAGAATAATGAACAAGCCACTGTTCATGAATTCAAAATTTTTGAAAATTTTCAAAGTGTCAAAAAGTATGAATTTTCATGGTCACGCTATACCATGACTTTTGTTGTTCAAAATCTACTTTGGATTTGTGGATCACACCAAAATATAATTCTGATGATGTGGCTAATAAAATTAACAAATTGTTCTTATGAGTTCGAAGCACTAAGAACAGGGGATGACCATTTAAAATGTATGAACTTGGTTAGGAAAAGCCTATGCATTTAAATAAGTGGTTGAGAATGGCTTATCTTTTCAAATTGATGGCCAGTTATTTGTATGTACACAATCAAAGCATCGAAGATACATTCGAAGCATCAAAAGTTGTTTCGAAGGTTGATTACTTCACCTTCGAAGCTGTATAAAGCTTTGAAGATACATTCGAAGCATCAAGAGTTGTTTCGAAGGTTGATTACTTCACCTTAGAAACTGTGTAAAGCTTCAAAGATACATTTGAAGCGTCAAGCCTAACCTTAAAACTTCATTGTAAGTATCATCATCCTATATCAATGCTTCCAACCTTCGAGGGGTGATGTTGTTCCTTCAAAACTGTGCCTCAAGACCTTCGAACGATGAATTTGGTCTTTTATGCCACCTTCGAAGCTTGTTATTGATCATCTAGTCATAATTTCATACTTATTCGAAGCACTTTATTAGTGTTATTATATCATTCGAAGCATTTTATTGGTGCTATTATATCATTCGAAGCACTTTTATATTATTCGAAGCATTTTATTGCTTAGATTAGTCATGTGCCTGGTTTGGGCCTTCAAAAATTCAAGTAAATATCGTTTTTAAAGGCCGCGGAGGGTAATGCTGGCATCATAAAATATTATTATTATTATTATTTTCAAGACACGTGGCATCCTCTTATTCATTTGGAAGTTAAAAGAAGTTATAGAGATGATGGAGAATATGAACGATAAAGTGGATGAGTGGAATGACACATGGCAAGACAAGAATGAAGATGGAAGAAATGGGTAGTTACTAAGTAGTTATTGCTGTATTTTTTTCTCTATAAATAGCCATTAATGGTTACATTGTAAAGATCCAGAATTCAAATCAAAGACAATTTATTTCAATATTTCTTGTCATTTTCCTTATCTTAAAAGTAGTTTAACATAGATTTATACTTCGAAGTATTTATTTTCAGCACTTTCTTTTCGAAGCATTTTATGCACTTCCTTTTCGAAGCATAGGAGTAGAGGTAAGTAATGATTACTTTGATTGTTCACTCAATCGTTTTTCTCCGTCTCCCTCATTCTTCTTTTAATTTTTTTTTTCTCTACACTTGGCAATTTTGAAGTCCTCTTTGTTGAGGCAAAAGAACCGTCAATGCAATCGCTTGATAATTAACTTGAATTTAATCTGTAAAGATTTTTCAATCCTTGCTGGTACGCTCGCATTTATAACATTTTCCTTCGTAGGAAAAATAAACCAACATATAGTCACTTATCCTATTAGCTCACCCCATTGTTTAAACCATTCTACTACCGTTGAGGAGGCTCCTTAGACTCTTTTACATCTTGTGCTACTTATTACACTTCTTTTGAATCATGGAATAATTAAGATGTTAGTTTTGTAAATGTAGTTCGGTATATATGTTTTGCAACATAGCATGTTATGTACTTCTGTTTATGGTTGCTTCATTTATATTAACTTTTATATGTTTGGAATTTGGATAATTAAGTAAAAGCATTGTTGGTTTGACAACTCTCCGACTGCATTATGTTTTTCTATATATTATCATTATTTATTGGGCTTTTAAATCAACTTCTTAATCAAAATTAAGTCAACTTTGGTTAGGCCTTGGTAACCAATATGATTGGTTATCGGTCAATCGAGGGTGTGAGTTGGGTTGTGATAGAGATCTATAACTCATTCATTTGTATGCAATTTTCTCCCCATCTAGCTAGAAATAAACCAAACCACAGGTACATGTAAAATATTAAACGGAAACACTAACAAAAATACTCTTATCAAATAGAAACAAAAAAGAATGTAAGTTCTCTTCCCACATGAAGTCACATATATCTGATCAACAGAGAACTCATGACTTTTTATGTCATTGATGCGCATAAGAAACAATCGCCAAACTGTCCAATTCTACATGTCATTCAAAATTAAACCTTATTTTCAAATACCATTTAATTTTCAAGCCTCAAAACCTTCAAACTTAATGAATTGAAAAGTTGTCAATACACATCCATAAACATTATATCCCTAACCAGTCCTGCTACAAACAAAGAAACTAATATAGAAATAAACATGAAGTACAGAAGAATTGATAAGATTTTATTAGATTTGTTGGTTGAACTGGAAAACTTTAAAAATCTTGTCTAGCCATACATATTTCGTGTCCAATATTGTCTGACCAGTTTCTATATTCCTAGACTTATTGTATGGCAATTCAACCCGTGACTGAGAAAGAGAAGTCCTCATCAGTCATGGCTCTAGAAGAGTACATGTTACCTTCACTAGCATAAGAAGAGTTGTCTTCATCACTATCTCGTTCTTTTAACTCTTCAATCTTGTCAATTGCCTCCCTCAAATCCCACCTCCTCTCCACATTCCACTCACAACAACACATTCCAATCTTCAAAAGCTTAAGCATCTCTCCTTCGCCATTCTTGGTTCCTTTCATGTCTTTATCAAACACCTCACCTGTCCACTCCTCTCTCACAACAGAGTTGACCCAAACTGCCAAATCCGCATTACCAGTTTTACCTTGTTTTAAATAATTTGCTGGGAACTTACCGGTCAACATCTCGAGTATGAGAATGCCAAGGCTCCACACATCTGTCTTCTTGGTGGTGCGGTCATGTTGGCTAAACTCAGGTGACTTATAGGCTACCATGAATTTTTGAGCATGTTCTTTGTTAATCACAGGCACAAGCGCATAATCTCCCAAGAGGGGTTCGAATGTGTCATCTAGAAGCACATTTGATGATTTTAGGTTACCATGGGGCAATGTCAGGCTAGGTATCTCTTTGTACAGGTAAGCCAATCCCTTGGCTACTCCTTTGATGATTTTTAAACGGGTTGGCCAGTCAAGCCCCGGCTGGATGGGACTACATTTACCTAAATTAGGCAATTAAAAAGAGACCATTAACACAAACAAAGAAAAAGGACTTAAATACATATATATATCACCGAAATATTTCATCTAAACTCCTTTATCTCCTTTGTGGTTCCACATGTGATACAATCAGAACATTTTTTTTTATTTTTTTTTTATTTTAAATGAGTAATGATATACAACTAAAAAAATTCATTTGTAATTGTTGTGCAAAATAATGTGTCTCAATGTGAACATTTTATTTTAAAGCATAACACCCCTTAAAATTACTTTTATCCACAAAGGGGGAGTTTTTTTTTAAAATATTCCAAAAAAAAAAACTAATTAGAGAATTGACCAACTTTTCAAACAATTTAAGAAATTAACTTACTTTTTCAAATCGCATTTTCAAAATGCGATTTTGAAATTGAAATTGCATCTTGAACATGTAATTTCACCTTAAAATCGCAAATTGAAAATGATGACACGGTGAAATCGCATGTTGAAAATGTAATTTCAATTGAAATCGTATTTTCAACATGCGATACAATTTCAATTTCAAAATCGCATTTTCAAAATGCGATTTCAAAAACAGGTTGGTTTCCCAAATAATTTAAAAAGCGGATCAATTCTCTAAATAGTTTCTTTTTTTGAAATATTAAAAAAAAAAAAACTCCACAAAAGGGGCATTGTCACATCAGTTGTGCAAAATAATGTGTCTCAATGTGAACATTTTATTTTAAAGCATAACACCCATTAAAATTACTTTTATTCACAAAGGGGGAGTTTTTTTTTTAAATATTCCAAAAAAAAAAAAACTAATTAGAGAATTGACCAACTTTTCAAACTATTTAAGAAATTAATCTACTTTTTCAAATTGCATTTTCAAAATGCGATTTTGAAATTGAAATTGCATCTTGAACATGCAATTTCACCTTAAAATCGCAAGTTGAAAATGATGACATGGTGAAATCGCATGTTGAAAATGCAATTTCAATTGAAATCGTATTTTCAACATGCGATACAATTTCAATTTCAAAATCGCATTTTCAAAATGCGATTTCAAAAGCAGGTTGGTTTCCCAAATAATTTAAAAAGCGGGTCAATTCTCTAAATAGTTTCTTTTTTTGAAATATTAAATAAATAAATAAATAAATAAAAACTCCACAAAAGGGGCATTGTCACATCATTCTTAGGATATTTTATATAGGAGTAGAGAATTTTTTATTTATTTATTATAATATACCGAGTCCTACACTAAGGCCCCGTTTGTTTTGGGCTATAGGGAGGGTATTGGGACTAGTAATACCAAGGTATTACTAAAGTCCCTGTTTGTTTGCAGAGAAAGGGTTGGGACTATTAGTCCCTTGGTATTGCTAACACCCTTGGAAGGGGGATTGGTAAGGAGGATGTAGAGATGGTATTAGAAAATAGTGAGGGGATTAGAAATTTTTTTATTTTTTATATATTGGGAATTTTTTTTTAAATATAATGTTTAATTTTTTATACTTTTTTATTTGTTTTATTATTTTATATAAAAATAATTTAACAATTCCTCATTATTAATCCCCTCACTATCAATCCCCTCACTATTAATCCCCTCACTATCAATCCCCTCCATTCTATCTCCCAAAACAAACGGGCCCTAATATGCTATTAATTCTAGAAACATAGAAAAATGTTAATAATTTTATTTAGAAAAATGGTAGGTGGTCTTGATTCAACTTTTGTATGATAGAATATACATTTTGAATGAATCTGAATCACATACTTTATATATATATATATATATATTGATTTTTGAGTAAAATTTTGAGCGAGCAGAGATGGGATAGGATATGGTGCATGTTATGTACAAGGAAGGAAGGAAGGAGGTTACCATGGAGATGATATGCTAAGCTACCATTTTCAACAAAGTCAGTAATCAAAAGCTTTTCTTCTTTCTTGAAGTAGAAGGCGGCAAGAGGGAGCAAATTAGGGTGAGACAACCTTCCTAGCCTTGTCATGTGGCGATGGAATTCATCTTTTCCCACACTGCTCATATGCCTAAACTTCTTGACAACCACAGTTGGCCCAGAAAGAAGTATAGCCTTGTAAGAAGACCCTAAATTCCCACTTCCCAGAACTTGTGCAGAGGCTCTAAGTAAATCCTGTACCTTAAACCTCTCCCTCCCATTCCTTACAAAGTGCAACTGGCCTTGTTCACCCCCCTTCTTCTTCTTCTTCTTCTTCTTCTTATCTGTGTTTTCTTCTTCTTCCTCCTCCTCCTCTTCCTGCTGCTGTTCTTGCTTCTGCTTGTAATTATTATCAGCAAACCCTTTCTTTGTATTGAGTTTTGCTGCTGACTTCCCAAATTGCAGGGTTGTTGTTTTGTTATGGCTCTGTCTCCGTCTCCGTCTCCGGCAGCCACAACATATGAAGAAAGCTACAGTGATGGCTGCTAGTACAACAACCCCCACAACCACTATTATGATTACCATTTTTAGGACTGACCACTTCTTCGATGACTTACACTTGTTTTTCAGAGGCTTACCACAAAGGCCAACGTTCCCTGCTCAGTTCACACAAAAATATATTAATTATGGACAGGTGCCTAGTTAATTAGTGAGGGAAAATAATAATAAATAAATAAATAAAATTTGGACAACCTCCAATTGAGTTGGGAGAGACTAAAGGATGTGAACAGTGTGCCATATACCCATTTTAATTATGAAAAATGATTGGTGGCCACAATATTCGCGGCTCAAATGGCTCGAATTGACCAAAACGACGTCGTTTTGTGTTGTTTTGTGTCCAAAACGACATCGTTTTGGTCAATTCGAGCCATTCGAGCCAGGAAAATTCGGGCTCTCTATCATTGCTGTTTAATTATAGAACAAAATGGCATATATTCATATTTTTTAAGTCATAATTAAAATAAATAAAAAAGTTATAACCAAATATCACGTGTGGTATAACTAAAGATTTCATAAATCAAAATTAAAATATTATCATAGGTAAAGAAGAAAATTAATCATAACTAAAGAAAAACATGACATAACTAGAGGTGCATATAGTATATCTGCTTCATGAGGTATGTATATTAGAATTTCCTAATTGAATTTTGTTCATTTTGTAAGTTCACGTGTAGAAGAATATTTAACCCAAAAATATAAAAAAAAAAGTTATATTAATTTTGATTATTGTAACCACATAATTTTATTATATTTATTTTTAAAAAATAAATAGTTTTAAACTAAGGCCAAGTTTGGGAAGACTAAAAAAGTGCACTTTTTGTCTTTTTGGACTAAAAAATTGAGGTTGAAAATATGGATGTTTGGGTTAACTTTTTGACTTTTTATTGAAAAATGTGTAATAAAAAATTGTAAAAATTAATTTGTAGAAAAAAATTTGAATTGGGAGTTGTGCAGCCGTAATTGTTGACTTTTGGTGAATAGTGTTAACTTTTTAGCTTTTTGAGTAACTTTTTGACTTTTTGGCTTATTTGGGACTTCCCAAACTTAGCCTAAATTATACAATAATAAATAAATAAATAACTAAAAGGGTTAATTGGTGAAATGTTTATTCATATGAGGCCATATATTATATAGCCTAAGGTTTAATCTTTTATGTTTTAATAAGGACATGTGGAAAAGTTGCTGAAAAAGTGGCGGAAAGTCACCGACATGGCAGTTGGCCGTAGTAATAGTAAAGTGAATATGTAGATGATATTAAATAGATGGGTGATATGTGTACATATAATTAGATATTTGAATAAGAAGTTATATAAATAGTGAGACGTTTTAACAGATAGATGATACGTGCATAGATAAGTGACATTTGAATAAATAGACAGATAAATAAGTTTTGAACAAATAAGTATTCTTTTGAACAAATAATATCTTTTTAGTTCAAAAAAATTTAAATTTAGACTTATTAATAAAAAAAAAAATCAAAATAGACATGAAACTTGAGGCCTCGTTTGTTTTTAGAGATAGAATGGAGGGGATTGATAGTAAGGTGATTAATAGTGAGGGGATTATTAGTGAATGGATTAATAGTGAGAAATTGTTAAATTATTTTTATATAAAATAATAAAACAAATAAAAAAATATAAAAATTAAACATTAATATTTTACAAAAAATTCCCAATATATAAAAAATAAAAAAAATAAAAAAATTTTTAATCCCCTCACTATTTTTCTAATACCATCTCTACCTCCTCACTATGAATCTCCCTTCTAAGGGTATTAGTAATAACAAGGTATTAGTAATCCCAAGGCCATCTCTCAAAACAAACAAGATATTAGTAATACCAAGTTATTAGTAGTCTCAATCCCCTTCTTATAACCTCAAACAAACGGGGCCTCATTATCTTAAATAAATATTGTCAATGTAGATCCTCTCATTTACCCACAAGGCCAAAGACTAATGCAGCTGCCTTTTGATAGGTTTTATTTTATTTTTTGGTAAGTGACATTTTTTTATTTTTTTTATTTTATAGAATGACAGTGTAATTGAAATTTTTACACATTTTGCATAGAATGGGTAAGCAAGAATTTTCTGTAGCAAGGGTAGCAAAAAAGAACTGCAATTTGCAAAAACTTTGACTTAGGCCTAGTTTGGGAAGACTAAATAAGTGCACTTTTTGACTTTTTATGAAATATGGGTTGGGTTTGGGTTGGGTTTGAAGTGATGTGTTAGAGAGGTGATGTGACTTAAATAAGATGATGTGACTTAAATAGGATAGTGACTTTTTGACTTTTTGTCTTTTTTGTCTCATGCCAAACTTGGCCTTATATATAAGATGATTGGTTAATAATTAAAAAAAATATGAGAGAGAAAGTTGCTTAACCTATTCTAGTAGATTCTTACATCTTTAAATTTAAAAAGTGAATCTAATTTTGACCTAAATAACATCATCCTTCAAATAATCTGTTTGATGAAAACAAATTCATGGCAAAGAGGGGTCTATAATCATATTTACGTAAAAAATAACATTTAATATAAAAAAAGACCTTACAATAAATTAAGATTTAAAAAAAAAAAAAAAAAAATTAGAGGCAAAATCATTTTTTTAGAATTAAATATTTTAGAAACTAAAAGTGTTAATGTTGTATTTTTAGTGACAAAATTAGATATTTAGTGATGAATAACCTTTTGGGACCAAAATTTTCTTCTAAAAAAGTAAACATTTATTTGTACAAAATTGTTTTGTAAATAAAAATATATTTATTAATAACATTTTTAAAATTTAATTGCTAGAAGTCATTTTTTATACTTTTCATGATGGGTTTTTAATGACAAATCCCGTGATAGTAAGAATTGGTCTCCTAATATTGTTTTCACCCAACTTTTAGTTTTACAGAAAAAATTGTTTGGTCCCTAAATTTTTATATGTTATAGTGACATTGAGACCCTTAAAAAATGTCCCTTAATTTTATCTATAATAACATGGAAAATTATGTATCAATTTTTTATTTATTTCAAACTTAACCATTTAAGGTCCAAATATCTTGCCATGTAATTGTGTATAAATTGTGAGTTCTAAATTTTGAGTTTCTAGTATTCTTATTTAATATAATAATGTTAAGTATATAAATTTTGTAACAACATTGGGATACTAGTGCTTTATTTCATTCCACTAAAAAATTCATCTAAACTAATGAAAAATGATCAACAAAAGTCTTCCAACATAGTTAAAAAGTAAAATTTTAAACCTAAAGATATAAAAATAACATTTATTCACTTTTACATCCAAAATCCTTACTAAAGCCAATTATACACATAATTAAAAATCAAGTTAATTATACACATTATTAATACATATTTAGTAATTAATATTTTTATTTAATTATACACATTATTATAAAAATTAAATTACAAATTATTGTATTATTTGACTTAAATTTAAGTTAAATTGAGCTAATATTTGTTTAACTTTAAAATTAAGTGAAAATTTAGCAAAGAAAGTGTATTCTCGGTGGTATGGGACCAAAGAGTAGATAATGTTAGGAAAAAAATTATAGTTTGGTCATTAATGTGTTGATATCAAATTTTGGTCCAAAATTACAATAGACTCTACCTATTATTGAACTATACGAAGTGAAGTGCAAATAGATCAAATTGCAATGAAATGAAATGAGTTTTACCCAAAATAAAACCATTGTTACTAATGATAACAATGACAATAACAGTAATAAAGTTCTTATGGTGTGATTGATTGAGTTGGTGATTTAAATTTACCAAAAAATATAAATATGTAAAACATTGAGAACGGTAAATAAACATTAGTGCAAATTAAAATCTCTACATTTTATAGCTTATGTCATTTTGGTCCTTATATTTTCAATTAGTTCAATTCTGACCCTTAATTTTAGATTTTATGTCAATTTGATCCGATTAATAATATGTTAATGTTTTTCTAAAAAATTATCACTAAGGCCTCGTTTGGCAAGTGTTCCTTTTAGCCAAAAATTCAAAAAGTTAAAAAAATCAAAAAGCCAACAACCCATACCAAAAAGTCAAAGATTCTCTTTTCTCTATACTTTTTGCACATCTTTTCGTAAAAAGTCAAAAAGTCATCCCAAACATACTAGTTTTTTTTACATCACATTTTAGTCAAAAATTCAAAAAGTTACTAAAAAAGCATGTTCCCAAACGATTGAAATTAATTCACTGAGATGAATAAGTTTATAATTTTTTCTTTAAAAATATAACAAACGACATTGATGTCTTATTTATTTTTATTTTATTTTTTTTTATAAAAAATGCTAATAATTGTAATCGATTGAACTAAATTGATACAAAATCTAAAATTAAGGTTCAACATTAAGTCAATTAAAAATATAAAAATCAAAATGGCATAAAAGACAAAATGTAAGATCTATCAGTATAATTTGCCAACATTAATAAGATGATCGTATAGGTGATGGTAATGAAAAAAAGGGATAGTTGTTTTGATATTATTAATAGAACTAAACAATACAATGGGTTAAGAAAATGAATAACAGTGTGTGTGTGTTAAATATCGGAACAAAACAAAACAATATATATATCCATAACTTTTGAAATCTTGTCTATTGCTGGCTGGCTGGCTCTGTATGCATTTGTTCTTTTTCGCTTTGATTTAATTAGCTCCTATGGTTCTGAGAGAGACTTTGTATTTTTTTTTGATCAGTAAAAAAAAATTTCATTTAACAGCATGAAATTAAAGACACAGGAAGATGACATGCATCGAAAGAGATTCGAAAGTATAAAAATACCTCTACTACTGCTACTCGCATCCATACAACCAACCCCTAAGCCTCTCTTTTTTTTAAAAAAATAAATAAATTAAGAAGAACTTAACTAGAAAATTAAAATACATGAATCTCCACATAATCAACCCACCAAAACACCCAAACCAAACTATATTAACTAAACCAACTCCCAAAGCAGCCCGAACTAAAAACCCATCTAATCAACAACCCACTCCTCTGCCTAGGCCCACGCCTCTGCTGCTACACCTCCCAAAGCCCTTACGCCTCTGCTGCATCAACACGCCATCCCTAAGCTGCTGCAACTCCCAACTCCCACTACCCACACCGGCCGAGAAGACCCTAAAGCCACCACCGGGAAACCCAGCAACACCCCTGCTGAAGACACCAAGCTGCTGCACCTCCCCTGCACAACACCCACAGATCCACAGATCACAACACCCGCAAACACACCCACAGATCAACTCCCACCAAGCTTTCTTCTTAACTCACACCTCGTACCCACGCCAAAGCCTCTGCTGTAGCCCACGAAAAAAAACTGCCGCCAAACTCCATAGCCAACAAGACTCCTACCTCACAGGTCATCTATCTCACACCGCGGATCCACACACCCACCGAACACCGACCACCCGCTGGGACACCTCCATACAAATGGTAGAAGTTCACCCCTCAAACTCACACTCGAGGAGGAGCGCTCGAGTGAAAACCGGAAAGAACTAAATCGCCTACGAACCAGAGTGCACCCCTCAAGCTCCTACTCGCCAAGAGCGCTCGAATGAAATTCCTGGACTCCCCTGATGAATCAACTGTAACGGCAAGGTTGAAACACAAGAAGACATCCGAAGACAAACCTAGACAGCCCCTGAAGAAATACCTGAACGGCCCCCGACTCACCAAAAACTCTCCTGCAGCAACAAAAAACACACCAAGGTGGGGAAAATGGGATACTCAAGTTTATTGAAAGAAAAACTAACAAGACAGCCACCGAAACGAGCTAAGCCAGCCAATCGCCATAGCCAAAGGCGGCGGCTGGCCAGCCCAAAAAGAGGCCGGGGAAGGAGGTTTTTAGAGAGAGAAGAGAGAGAGAGAGGTTTTTAGAGAGAGGAGGGCCGAGAGAGACTTTATATAAGACTAAAACCCATTCAAAAGGCAATGGATTAGATTCGATACCAAATCCATTCCAAAAATCCAAATTCGATGGATGCTATGCTGTTTGGGGAGCTCACTATGATTAGAACCATTTATCTTGTTAGATTTGTTAGGTAAATCATTCACGTCAAAAATTAGATTAATCGGATATTCACAGCTATATGAATGGATCACATTTGTTTTAAGAAAAAACTGTAATCTATTCTCAAAATCACATATGCCGTCTATTTTTTTAAGAACTAATATGATTCGATTTCCGATCAATTCGACTTTCTACAGGAATGATTTTCTTAGCAAACTCTATAAAATGAATTGTTAAAATTATGGAAATGGTCCCAAGATTAGTCTATGCAAAAGTTATGAATAACAGGTGTGTGTGAGTGTTAAATATCAGAACAGAACAAAACAATATATATCCACTACTTTTGAAATCTTGTCTATGCTGGCTGGCTGGCTCTGTATGCTTTTGTTCTTTTTTCCTTTGATTTAGTTAGTTCCTATGGTATCTGAGAGAGACTTTATATAAGAATAAGACCCATTCAAAAGGCAATGGATTAGATTCGATACCAAATCCATTCCAAAAATCCAAATTCAATGGATGCTATGCCGTTTGGGGAGCTCACCATGATTAGAACCATTCATCTTGTTAGATTTGTTGGGTAAATCATTCACATCAAAAATTAGATTACTCGGATATTCACAATTATATGAACGGATTACATTTGTTTTAAGAAAAAAATAATAATAATTTATTCTCAAAATCACATATACTGTCTATTTTTTTAAGAAAAAATATGATTCGATTTCCGATCAATTTGACTTTCTACATGAATAATTTTTTAGCTGGTTTGGCCAGATTGTCCTACTTGAATAGGAGGTTAGTGGTTCAAATATCTTCATTTACGTGTTAGTTTTATTTCTCATATATTTGTTAGGAATCATATAACTTTATTATAACATCATATATGAATTAAAAATAAATTAAAAAATCTTTGGAGGAGAATTTATTGTCGTAAGTAGTATAAATTATTCGTCTTAGACAAGAGAGACTAACTTTTGGCCAAAATTTTCTATATAACAAGGTTACAGAATAGTTCCGCTCCATTACATGAGTGAAATGAAAATATTTAATTTATGGTTAATGATTGTAAAATAGTCACAATAATGTTATCTTTATTTCAACTCAAAAAGTGCATTTATTTATAGTAACGGGTTGTTTGGGGTATCCTAAATAAGTGTACTTTTTGTCTTTTTGAACTAAAAAATTGAGGAAGAAAATATGGATATTTGGGTTAACTTTTTGACTTTTTATGAAAAAATGTGTATTAAAAAATTGTATAAATTAATGTGTAGGAAAAAATTAGAATTGGGAGTTATGCAGCCGTAAGTTTTGACTTTTGGTGAATAGTGATAACTTTTTAATTTTTTGAATAATTTTTTGGCTTTTTGACTTTTTGGCAACTTGCCAAACTTGGCCTAAATAAACAAATAAGTGCAGTTATTTAGTAAGTGTTTGGGGGTAAACTAAAAAAATATTTTTTTTTTACTTACATATACTTATTTAGGTCACATCAATCAACATCTCTTCTCTATTTTTCTAATCACTTTCTTTATTTTTTACACATTTTTTTTATTATAAAAAAATCAAAATACATTTATTTAGAACATTCTAAGCCACCCCTAATCTATTGCCAAACAATCCAAACAAGTTAATCCAAATAAGAACTAAAACAAATGATATTGAAAAATGGAAAATTAACAAGGTGCATGGCTTGTTGTATTTACTATTATTTACTATAAAAATAATAAATAAAAATGAGAAAACTCACTCACCAGAAAAGGAGCCAGCAAAGATGTCCTGTAGACTAGGTGGTATGGGACCCTGAAATCTGTTATTTGCAAGATTAACAGTTCTTAGATCCTTGGAAGCAAAATCAGGTAATTGACCATCAAACTGGTTATCATCAAGAAGAAGGTCAGCAAGCTTAGGCAATTTTGCAAGTGAGTTTGGAATTTTGCCAATAAACTCATTGTGAGATAATAAGAGTCTCCTCAAAGACAGCATCCCAACAAAAGCATCATCTGATATCTCACCGGAGAAGCGGTTGTTGGACAGAAACAATCCTCGCAATGAACCACCAACTATTCCACCAAGTTTCTTTATGTCTGGCATTGGACCTTCAAAGTCATTGTTCATCACGCTTATGCTCCGTAAAGTCGGCAACTCTGCAAGTACTTCCATATTAATCATACCTTTCAATCCCATGCTTTCAAGTCTCAGCCCATAAAACACGTCATTCAAGCAAAGCAAACCATTCCAATTTGAATCATTGCCCGAGCACAGACTGATGGACACATTCCAATCATTTAATGCACTGTCATTGGTCAATGACTCTTTGAACTTGATAAGGCTCTTTCTGGCTTCAGTATCATCAGGTGGTGCTGCTAGAGTTACCACAGCACAACTTAACAACATAAATAGAATAATTAGAACCTGATTATTAACCCAACATGTCCTCATCCCATTACTACTATTACTACTACATGCCATTATTGATTGGTATATTATGGTATTGGTAGGTCAAGAATTTGAAACTACTTTTGTCTAGCTAGTATAATGCACTGCAAGGCAGGTAAGAGGATGCATATGGAAGGAAGAGGTTGGTTTTGGTTTTGGTTGGGACATTTGGAAATTAGTAACTAACACACACAGAGAGACAGGGTGTGTGAATATGTGTGTGATAAAGAAACAGAAGAGAATGGAGTTGGTAGGACAGGCTGAAATACTGATGGGAATAATGGCCAGAGTAAAAGGGACAAATTGGGGTGGTGAGATTGACGAAGTCCTCCTAACAAAGAGCTGTCTCTGGCCGGCAATTAAATTATTGTTTTTGCTAGTTTGGTGTCTAACATTACTCCTTTATTGTTTTTAAGAAAAATTATAATTTAGGATGTAGGACAAAAAGAAAAAGAGAAAAGAAAAATGAACAAATATTAGGGAGACTTACATGTAAGATTTAATAGGCGAACCTATTGTCCTACATGTCTTATGATAATTAATGGTATTTTTCATCAAATAATATTAAAAAAATATTATTAATTGTTAATTTTTAACGATAAAAAAATTCATTACAGAAAAATGCTACTAAATTTTAGCAATAATTTATAAAAATCGTGACAAAAAAACAATAATTATTAGTTTTTAGCGAAATATGTAAAAAAGCGTCATAAAAAATAATTTTTAGCGATAATTTTATTAGAAATTATTTAGGACTTGATGAGAATTAAGTCTAACTATTAGGATCTATTAATAGTTTATCCCATATATAAGGGGTGTAACTCATTTTGTGATAGATTGCAACTCGAACACATAATTGTGTAATTGTTTTTATGTATTCCATTGGACTATAAATTATTCCATCAAAATGATATGACATTAGCATTTTCTTAGAATACTAAGTCACTTTTTTATACATCTTTTAGTTTGAAATAAATTAATACAAATCTGTCATATTACTCTTTATATATATATATATATTGTATATAATTTTATTTTCTATTTATACTATATATATATATAAATTGGACCGAGCTCGGTAATGGGCCGCTGTGGGCCACAGTAAGAAGGGCAGAGTAAAAAGGCCTCGGCGTTAGCCCGGTCCAAGAGAGTCTTGGAGCTAACCCAGTCTTAGAAAGCCTTATTGTTATCCCGGTCCAGGAGAGATTTGCGGATAGCCCGGTCATCACATTCAGAGTTAGCCCGGTCGTGGCATAATGCAGTTAGCTCGGTCAGACCTAACCATTCGTTAGCACGGCCTAAGCACACTATGGATTAGTATGGTTTGTACAGAAGAAACCAAGGAATACGTAGTCAAAGGAAGAACCGAGCTATGTGGAGCTCGGTCTATTCTACGGCTTTAGCATGACCATGTTATCTCGGTTATATTGGGACCCGACCATGGTAAAACCATCTCACTTGGTTTAAGTAGTGAGGGGGGTGTTGAAGGATAAGCATTATCTTTTAGGAACGTGATTCCTAGGAGGACTCTACAGGGAGGAGTAAGAGTCCTACTAGGATTGTGCCACACAAAACCTATAAAAACTCACAACATCACCTACGGAGAGATAACACAACTCTGATTCTCGAATACACAGAGCTTTTGTCTATTTGTCTATTTTGCTGACTTAGGCATCGGAGAGGTATCTGGCACACACCCGCCGGCTAGCTCACGTTTGTGTTTTCAGGGAGTAAAGCGACGTCGTACGGAGGAGTGCAGACTTGATCAACAGGATTATATGAGAAGGTTTATTTCTTTCTCGTACAATTGACGTCATCTGTGGAAAGATCAGACAAGGAACAAAACCTCTTGATCAAGTTTCCCTCGCTAATTGATTGGCGCACAACGAAGATTTGCCGCAGTCCGCTATCGACAGACAAACCCCAGAGGGGGGGTGTGAGGCACGAAGGATTACTCTCTATCCCTCCCATGGCGGACTTAGAACCCCAGTAACAGAATCCCTGGAGGGACACAAGGGGGAGGCGAAACAACAGCCCCCGTCGCTCTCGCTCACAAAGTTCTGAAAGGCAAAGGCGAAGAATCAACCCTCAAGCTCTAGAGGATCGCGTAAAAGAGCAAGATGAACTAATAAGGAAGATGATGGCGGACATGGAGGCCATGAAGCACCAGATCAAGGGAAAAGGGGTGGCAACAGGAGAGGGACGCAAAGGCAATACGCCTCCTCGCCACTCAGAAGATCGTGGTATACATACCACGCCATCACAAGCAGAGAGTAGAAGCCTCAGGACAGGCGACACTCAATCAAGGACTTCTAGAACTCGTTACTCCAGATCTGAGAGAACGAGATCATTGAGGTCTTACACTGAGGGAAGTACCTACCGGCCGTCACATACGCACAAGACATCATCCAGGCAAACGGAGTTGCCTAGATCGTCCGACTTACGGACAGTGCTTGAAGAAAGGGCGCGACAGAAGGAAGATGCCAGGGCATGCGACCCGCACAGAATTTCAGCCCTTCAGCGGTTGACTCCTCGGACGCATGGAAGCATCGAGGTCGGAATGCCAATACCGCACCTTGCCTACGAACCAACAGATAAAGCATTGGCAAGACTACATAGCTCGTCGTTCGTTCTGGCGATTGAGAATGCACCATTACCCTCAGGCTTCATCCAGCCTAAATTTACCACGTACGAAGGGAAGACAGACCCTTACATGCACCTAAGCCACTTTCGCCAGGTTATGGCAGTGTACCGGCGGAACAAAGCTTTGATGTGCATCCTATTCCCATCCAGCCTTGGCGACCTAGGTTTAACCTGGTTCGAAAGGCTACCAGAAGGCAGCATAGCCTCCTGGGCGCAATTAGCGGAGGCGTTCGTGACGAGATTCAGAACAAACACCAAGACACCAGTGGAGATTGATCAGCTACTCTCCATCGACATGGGCGACAAAGAAACACTGAGGTCCTACGACAGTCGCTACTGGGAGACGTTCAACCAGATAGGGGACTGCCCCACCAATCTCGCCATCGCACAATACAAAAGAGGACTTCTAGTTGAAAACAGATTGAGGGATTCGATTACAACGACTCCACCCCTCACAATGGAAGTCTTGATGGAGAGAGTGCACCAACATATTCGAGTGGAGGAGGATGGGGCCCGTGCCAAAGCAAAATCTGGTGCAACAGCAACACCAGACAAGAAGACTACAGCAAAGGTCAATATGGTAGAACGACAAAGCAAGAATGGACGTGGCAGGCGAGACAACGAAGAGGACTGAGATAAAAGATGGTTGAGAGTCTACACTGCCATTACCACGGTATTCAAGAAACCAATCTACCGAATTCTCAGTGAGATACGCGATGAACCTGTCGTCAAATGGCCAACTAAATTGGGAGAAGCATATAAGGACTACGACGAAAAATCTCAGTACACCTTCCATAAGGAAAAGGGCACCGCACTGAAAACTACACACCGTTGAGACAGCATCTGGAGGAATTAGTGGCAGCTGGTCACCTAGACCGGTACATAGAAGGAGGGACGTAGCCAGCCTCCTAAAACCACGACCACGCAGACGAAACACCGAATGACGCCCACCACAAGATGTGATAAACGTAATACATGGGGTATTCGAGCCTGAGCAAGTATGTGAGCTCAGGGGCATGATAAAGAAGGCAGAGCACTTAAGGGAGGTACTAAGTGCGCAGTCCACCATTAAAAAGGGAAAAACAGAGGCCACGAACGTCATGTCTTTTTCAGACAAGGACCTGGAAAGGATATATTGTCCTCACAACGATGCACTGGTCGTCACTCTCCGCATCAAGGATTATGATGTCAAGCAAATTTTGATTAACCAAGGAAGCTCATGTGAGATAATGTACTACGAAACTTTCAAACAGTTGAAATTGAAGGACAAAGACTTGGCACCTGCCGTATCTCCCCTGATCGGATTCAACTCAATGCCAGAATGGCCAGTCGACAAGATAATCCTCCCAGTCAGAGCTGGAAGCTTGACTAAACAAGTGAAATTCTGGATATTAAAAGTGCCCTCCACTTATAACATAATCTTGGGAAGGACATGGTTGCACACCATGAAAGTGGTAGCATCATCATACCATCAAGTCATGCAGTTCCCCAACGAAACTGGAATAATTGAAGAGGCCTATGGAGACCAAATTATGTCCAAGCAATGCTTCGTCACAGTAAATGGCAGCCGAGCTGCCAAGGGGTTTGTTCAGATGGTGGAAGAGCCCGAAAATAATGAATCATTTGCGGATGTTGGCAAAGCCACTGAACAGAAGGCGGTGGAAGACTTAGTACAGGTAAGAATAGCTGAGAAGAACCGAGATAAGTTCTTTTTGCTTGGCTCATCCATGTCTAGCACTGAGAGAATAGAGGTCATGGAATTCTTAACCTCTAACATCGAAGTGTTTGCCTGGACGCCGTACGACATGCCTGGCATTGACCCAAGCTACATATGTCACCAATTGAATGTCCACCCAACTGCCAGACCAATTATACAGTGCACTCGCAGATCGGCACTCCACCATGCCGAGATTGTGGCAGAGGAAGTGGAAAACCTGCTAGAAGTAGGAGCTATCAGAGAGATGCACTACCCCCGATGGATCTTCAATACAGTGGTAGTGCCTAAGAAAAATGAAAAATGGCATGTCTGTGTGGACTACAAAACGGTCAACAAGGCGTGCCCAAAAGACAGCTTTCTTCTTCCACGAATAGACCAACTGGTAGATCTGACGGCAGGACACAACCGTCTTAGCTTCCTTGATGCGTACAGAGGTTACCATCAAATCGCTATGTATGAACCAGACTAGGAGGTCACATCTTTTAAAACACCAAGAGGACTGTATTGCTACAAGGTCATGCCCTTTGGCCTAAAGAACGCAAGGGCAACATTCCAACGGATGGCCACCAAGATGTTTGAACCATTGTTAGGCAGAACAATGGAGGCTTACATCGACGACATGGTGGTCAAGAGCAAGGACAAGAGTGACCATCTTAAGGACCTAGGTGAGATGTTTCAGATCCTGAAGAAACACAAGTTATGCCTTAATGCATCTAAGTGTGCGTTCAGCGTAGGATCTGGCAAATTCCTAGGCTTCCTGGTAACCAACCATGGCATAGAGGCAGACCCTTCTTA